AAAACGGTGACTGGGGTTTTTCGTGTAATGTCTTGATAGCGATTGTTTATGTTGCGAAACGACTCAAAACAAAATTCCATCGTGAAAAAAGTTCGACTAAATTCCCTTCTGAAAAACACGTGTGTATTTAAGGTGGATAATGTTTCATATGAGCATTCAATTCTTAAAGGTTTAATTCTATAATCATTTTGTTTAGTTATGTAAATAAATTTAACACGACTTGTACTGTTTATCTGAGTGAAAGGAGAGCTGCGGGTTTTCCCTTTCCTTTATTTACACTTTCAAATATGACCGCTTAACAAAAATGCACGGGCTCACTGGCTTACAACCTTGGCGAATTCATATRCAGGCCTGGTCGCAAATCAATCACCCAGCTACTATCGTAAGTTCGACGGAGACAAAACTGATTCAAATAATGGCAAAATGGGACGCTAAAGTTGCTAAGGAAGTGAGAAAAGATTTTCATAAGTTAAACAAAAACATTGAAAGATTCACTCGATTAATTTCAACGAATGCTTCTCAACAATATTTTCGATTTAAGTTGACTTGTGAAAAAGTCAAGCCAATGTTATATGAACCTTATCACTAATGCCTTTTTTCTGTTTATTTTTTTTTCTGAATCAAACTGATTAAGCAAAAAAAAAAAAAAATGCGCAAAAGCCTACAAGGAATTTTTTTATCGCACTTGAGTAAATCCTCGCGCGGTGATGTTTCTGATAAGAGTGTGTTAGTAAGAAGACATGCAACACCGTGCTGACACCATCACATCTCGCACACACCCTCATGAAAGAAAAACAATGATTTTCGCTAGTTTTTTTATCTTAAATGTGTTCAAAAAGTTGCACACGGTATTTTGTATATTCAAAACTGAAGTTGAGATACGATTAAAGCGCGCAAAACCATCGCAATTAGTTAAGTCTCAAAATGTAAAAATCAAAAAATATAAAACAAAAGGCTGATTTAGTGATAAAAAACAGGTCTGGAATTTAAAAAAAAATTAATCACGTGGTCTTTAGTGACAACACTTATCTCGGATTGATTAATTTGACTTAATTTTCAGCATGGTCACTATGTGCTCTTAAGAGGAGATAATTAATTGGTTCATGTGTCGATGGAACAACAATACCTGTAGCTATGACTCYAAAAAACGATAAAATCTGCTGACACATCCATCCTACAAGCCTTATTATAGCACGTCAATAATGATTTCGAAATTTCATCGAATTTTCAAAATATGATCAACGGCAGCCAATTAGCTTGCCTTATTTTATCTTGTCGGTTTTGTTGTCATAGCCTCTCATGTAGTTATAACACTGTAAATGCACCGTTGCAATTAAAGAGTCAGATTGCATACTGTAACAGTACATAAAAAAATCATCATTCAGTCGTCAATATTCAGTTTTTGGATTGAGGAAAATCAAACCTGACTGACAGCCAAGGAATGAATTCTTCTGTAAACATTTCCAGCTATAGATGGACAGTACCAATGTCAAAGTGTCCAGGAATAGTCACCACAACCATTTTAACGGTTTTGATTGCTGTTCTTGGTATCGTTGCTAATGTGTTGGTCATTCGTTTCGTTCGTTCAGATCTAAGACAGCGGAAAACTCCGGACAGACTTCTTTTACTACACATGTCGATTGTCAATTTACTGGGATGCTGTGTTGGCCTTCCTCTCTTCTACTTCAACAGTGAGATTTTAGTACGCTTAGATATTAATTTGGAAATAGCCTCATCTCTTTGCTTTGTCAAAATGTTTTTGCTGTTTTTTTGCTTAAGGAGTGGTCATTTTATGCTAGCAGTACTGTGCTTTGACCGTTTTCAAACAATCACAATAGATCCTCAAGCAAAATGGCTGACTTACACAAGAACGAAGCAAATAATCTTTGCAGTCTATACTTTAGTGTTTGTAGTGATGATGGCAGTAATGAGTGGTTATATCGTACATATGTCTATTGATCGACAAGATTGGATTTGCTTTAAAAGCCCAGGTCTGTCAATTTCAAGAATTGGTTTGATAGTTGAATCTGTTGTATCGATAACAATAGCAAGCATCGCTTGCATCTTATTCCTCCAAAAAACAGACAAACATGTCAATCAACATATCGATTCTGTTCGTGCTACACTCGGCGATCAAAGCACAATCAAGGAAATTCGTCTTGTACGAAACGCTTGGGCGTTTTTTGTGGCTTACAGTTTCGTGTGGATCCCCTTTGGAATAGCTCGAGGGGTGAAAAGTG